CCCTGAACTCCCATTGAACCCACAGCCGGGGCAGGTGCTGCTTTCTAATGGGCGTGTTTACAAGACTAGTTCTGGGGACCCATGTGGGGGAGGGGGGAAGAATCCAGCTCAGTGTGTGCAAAATGATTTGAGATCCTTGCATGAAATGCACTGCAGCGCACAGTGAATGATTCAATATTAGTTATTATTTTATGATTAGAATAGGCACCTATATAAGACAAAGCCCTAAATATTGGGACTGACCCACTCCCTATAGAATCGGGACATCTGGTCACCCTAGTGTTACTAATCCTTTCCAAACCTTGCCCTGCTATCATGAGCCCGGCCTGCAGGGACCCCCTGGGCCAGGGACACAGTTCAGTTTCCATGACCAATTCACGTTTTGGCTTCTTTGCTGGGTCTACTAACAAGAGAGTTAATAGTGATTGTTTGCGTTTTTTTAAGGAGGGCACCTGCCCACCAGGAAGTAGACTGAGACCAATCAGTTAATTCCAACCCAGCCATCAGATGGTAGCTACATTCATCAGCCACTACCGTAATAGTCCTAGTTCCACCTCTTTCTATGTCTAGCACGTCTCTCTCTTCATTTGCTTTGGCTACCAGACCCCGTACAGGTTCATCGAATCAGCCCCTGCAATACAACCTCCCACACCCATACCACCATTCACCGCAGGGCCAGAGGGGCTTACGCAATACCTGAGTCACATGGCAAATACCCAGCGCACTGATCTGATCCTCACTATGCTGTCTGTGGCAGAGTTTACACAAATGGTGAAGTAAAAATGACACCATAAAAGCCAAAGAAGGAAAAGACCGAGTAGGTTCAGCCCCCCTGGTACCTCAGCAGGATTGTGCTAAGGTATGGGTTCATTGTGGGGGTGTGACACCCAGGCAGGGCTGTGAACAGGCACCATCAACTCCCTGCCCTTCTCACGTTACTAAATGGGGAGGTGGTCTCAGCAAGATCCCAGTAGATGGGTGTGGGGTCCCAGGAGGGGATCCCACAAAGTGTGTTCTCTCCGGAGCTGTTTTAAATGTACCACGCAATGGGAGATGAATCTGCAGTCTAGGGCCTCCCATTGCCAGGAGGTATTTCCAGGTAATCAGCCTAAATTTCTTCCTCTTAATTTCAGCCTCTTACTCACGGCAGAACATTTCCCCTTCAGTTTCTGGTTGCTCAGTTTCATCCCATTACTCCTAGTCACACCCCCATGTACCACCCCGAACAATCCCCCTCCTACCTTGGCGTCTACACCCTTCCCATTCTTTCAGACTCCCCCACTCCCTGATGGGCATTTCTGTGCATCAGTTACTATGGTCATTGCTATGGTTGTTAATGATTTGCATTAGGAACCCCAGCCAAGGGACTGCAGAGAGCTCACAAATCTACATGTCAGTTAGAATGCAACAGATGGATGAACCAGACAAACGGGGTGGGGGTGGGGGAGATGAGAGGCCAAGATAACAATAAAACAAACAGTTTTGCAGAAATGCAGAAGACACAGCTCCCTGCTTGCCTAACCAGTCCAGACGGGAGTGATTTGTAGATAGCACAGCACAAGTAGGTTTTAAGAAGGGATTTAAGAGAGGATAAAGTGGCAGCTTTACGTGTGTATAATTCTTTAAATCAAGATTGGATGTCTTTCTAAAAAAACATGATTCAACTCAGCTACAAGATACGGGCATGGTGCAGGACTTATGGGGTGAAGTTTGATGACCCCTGTTATGCAAGAGATCAGACAGGATGATCATAATGGTCCTTTCTGGCCTTAAAAATCTATGAATAATAATGCTGTGCTATTATTGTAATAACGGTTGTGTGTGGTTGCGTTTTCTGTACCTTTTCTTTTTAAAAGGCCAGATTCACAAACAGTTAGGCTTAAAACTTGACAAGTTTGAAATGTCCTCTTCAAAGTGACTGTACTAAACTCTTTGGGGTGATCTCTAACATAATGGGGGCACAATCACTGACTGAGCCCATAAGTAAAATACATACTAAAGAATCAGAATAATGATGATCAATGAAGGTCGCTACCAAGAACTAACCTACGCTCTGCACTATACAACTCTGCCTTGGTCTGTGTTCATGCTGTTTATTGTGGCACAATTCAAGCTGCAAAATGAAATGTATTAATTAGCTTGAAAGAGCAGCTCTCCAGTTCAGGCTAAGCTGCCATCAGTGGCCATGATTTTAATTAAGTCCAAAATGTAATTATCTTGACTAGTTTTGCCATCTTTCACATGATGACTCTATTATGTGCTCTGGTTAACAGTGAGCTAAGCATTTTCTGCACACACACAAAAAATGAATCCAACAGAGGCTGCCAAATGAGAAAATGGATCCCAGATGCACAGAATGAGTTCGCTGGCGTTTTGCACAGCTCCTCACCGCTAGAAGCTGAAAACCTGGGCTGGTTTTCAACGAGCATTTTCCTTTATTTGTGTCTTCCACTCCCTCTGGGTTTGGCCACATTCAGGCTGTTAAAATAGAGGGATGTGGGCTCGAAATATTATCTCAGATCATAAAAATCAGAGATGGAAATGAAGGGATTAGGTCATCACCCCCAAAACGCCCAAGCTCGTCAAAATCTAGAGCCGAAGATGGATTCTGTGGCTTGAGCCCCTTTCTGCTGGTCCCTCAAATGAACAGTTTCTCAGTAAAGACAAAAATGCTAAGCAGAGTAAACATATATAAACCTTCCCTGTCAGTCACTGGGTCTCCCGAACCAGCCAAGGGGCCAGAAAATTCCAGCTGTACACTCAATCTCAGTGACACCAATGCAATAAATCTGGGCATACAGGCATTCCAATCCACATGCTGTCTGTAGTTATGGGGAGAGCCCTTTCAGACAAGGAGCCCGATCTGGGAGTCACCCACCTGCCAAGTAGAACTACAGGATCAAGCTCAGTTTGGCCAAGTCTAGAGTAACTTGATAAGAGCCCAGGCTGTGGAGGAAGGCAGCAAAAGCAGGTAGAGTTGAGAGGGGGCTCAGAAAGCGGGAGCAGCGGATTCACAATTTTGGGACCACAGAGATAATTTGTATTTAGGAACATGAAGTAGGAAGAGGAGAAGGTTGGGGTGTGGGTGGGGGAGTTCTCCCTTATATATACAAACAACATAACTGTTCTTGCAATTGTGCCCCAGAATGAACCATGCAAAAGGCTGATGCTAAAAGTTCTGACCTCGGCTTTGACCCCTTTATTCAGCCCTCAGCTAGAACTATGATTATGATCATTTCTATAGCACCATAGCAGTCCTGTGAACTTTACACACAGGCAAAGTCCAGGCACTGAGGAGCTTATGGCCTGCTTAAGGCAGACACAGTGAGAGATCAGGTAGTCATAATGGTCAGTGATGGAAAGGGACTTGAAAAGAGATTTCAAGGAGGATGGAAGAGGAAGGGCAGTTGGTGCATGAAACGCATGTTCCAAGTCTGGGGGGGAAAGCCCCAAGTACCCTAGAGTTTAGGGGGAAATTCCTCGACAGGTTTTTACTAGTACACACAGCGCATTGTGGGCCACATCTTTTAAAGGCGCTGCTAACCAGGCCATATTTGGAAACATGTCTGCCCACCCGTACCTTCAGTGTCTCAATGCACAGGACCATTTGGTAACAGCACATGTAAATAGAGACTCAAGCTCAGCTAACCAATTCACACACCCTTCGCCCATCCCAAAGGCCTTTGCACGTATTACAGGTCCAGCTAGGAGGCACTTTGAGAACATGGCCCTTAATGCCTGCACTAGGCTTGTGCCCTCCTAACTAGTGTCATGGCACCTAGAAACCCTGGCAGCCGAGATCCACAGGTGAAAAGCAGACAGGCATCTTAGTATCATTGTTATTCGCTAGCCCAGACTCTGGCATGCAAAGAGCTCTGGGAGTAAAAGAGGAGAGGATGAGGCGGAAAATACATAAATAGCTGGCAATTCTGGGTGCGGTAGCCTTGATAGGGAGCAGGGCTCCAGGGGCATCCCATTCTGACAGTTTTAGGACAGCAGATAAATATGGCCTGCAGCAATGAATTCTGGGAGTCGCAGTCCTGAGGGCTCTGTGCCATAGAGAATTCTGGGGTTTGTAGTCCTGTGGGTTGGGTGAGGCATAGTTCCCTGGAGCTAAGACCTATATTCCTGGGCAGTGGGATTCCATACCCCCCTCCAATACCCAGGAGTCCTATTTCCCAGCCTTCTGCTCTAACCCATTCACTCACTGCCCCCGCCCCCGGAGAGATTCCAGGAGGATTAATATGAGAGGTAGTTAAAAGAGAGACCAATGCCATACAGACTCCCTGGAGTAGAGAGTTCTGGGAGTTGTAGTGCTGGGGGGAGGGGTAGTCCAGCCGCGGGGAGCTCTGGGAGTTGTAGTGCTGGGTGGGAGGGGGCAGTCCAGGCCGTGGGGAGCTCTGGGAGTTGTAGTTCTTGGGGGACAGGGGGCGGGGAAAACCCAGCCCCTGGGTGCTCTGGGAGTTGTAGTGCTGGGGGAGGTGGGAGCACAGTCCAGGCCGCAGGGTGCTCTGGGAGTTGTAGTGCTGGGGGAGGTGGGAGCACAGGCCAGGCC